CGTGCGATTAGGCGATTGTGGCTCAATGGGCGGAGCAACAAATCAATACGTATCCTTCCCTTATCGCCTACTCGCCTACTCGCCTAACTCGCCTACTCGCCTAATCGCCTGATCGATTAATCTCACGTACGATCGCCTACTATGAATGCTCTTACGACGGAACGTCTTTACGCAGATAAGGCCTCACAAATTGTTCTCCAGAGTGATGCGCAACTTTAGCTGGGATGGGGCGCTGGGTTTACCACTTTGTTTGTGCAAGAAGGGTCTAAAACGAGTTTGAAAATGGAAACGTTTGCCTTAGGCATGCAACAACGGAGCGTCGTTCATCAAAAAAGTATTAAGTAGTTTCTCGATTGTTCAGGTGGAGAGCACAAAACGGAAAGGACAGGCGGCCGCGCTGAAAGCAGAGCCAAACGATGTCGAAGGAGGATCAGCCATCAAGCTTGAGGTAAGCCCAACTCCCATTCGGGCTTTTCGCTGCTGCTCTCAAAAAGAGCGCAGTTCGCTTTCTTTGCCACTTGGTTACAGTTTCTACAAGTGCACGTTCTTCCTCGGTACAGAGTAACGTTGTAGTACTCGCTACCCTTGAAGAACTTTTTCGTAACGTAGAGACGAGACCTGAACGCACCTTAATCCACTCTCTGAGGGCGTGCGGTTGACTGGACCCATGTTGATGTGTGCGCTGACATGATAGCCCATTTGGAGTCCACGTATAACATAGTTTGTTTCAGATCGCAATCCTTCGAGCCATGACCGAATCTGGAGATAAACCACACATTCCAAGCGTATTCCATGCTGCCAAGCACAAGAAGTACTGCTATATGGTCATGACGCTCCTGGGAGAGAATCTGAAGTCTCTGAAGGTAGTATGGATACCGTACGTAGCTGAAATCATAGAACACTCTATCCCTCTATATCTATCTCTGCAGTACCTTGTAATTTGATCCCTTTTCAAAGGAATTGTCCACTGTCCTGTGTCCAATTGTCCAAATTAACCTCTTCCATTGCCTACCCCCATAAAAGCGCTACTTGCAATTGCTAAGAATGGTCTGCAAAGTTTTAAGTGAATGAAAGCAACGTTTCCAGTAGAACAAGCGCCTTTCGACCACCCTTAATAAACGGTTGGGACGGGAGGGCGGACTCAAAGGCGGCCCATGGAAACAATAGCGCCTTGGGACTTGGGGAGAGAACGATCATTGGGATAGGATGCAGTGGAAGTTTTTGCAGTAACTCAAGAGGCCAAGAGGATGAGTGGGTACACTTCGAGGGAAAATGTGGATGAGAGATCGCCGCCAACATTTGCTGGCTCTTATACTAATAATTTGGGGACATGGACTATCTGTTTCTTCGGCGAATTCTTGCTACTTTACTACAGTGCGTTTCAAAAGTATGTGCACACCCTCAAAATTCACGTTTGAAAGGGAACCATGAGGTTTCGTGCTATGAAATCCTTCTCAATCGATTTCTCGTAGTCGATAACCTATCATGGAAGCAAAAGCAGATAATATCGCCTCACTTTCGGAAAAATTTTTTGGATGAAATTTTTTTCTTTGTTTCAAAAGTATGTGCACACTTGAAGAAGATCAGATTTTGGCGCCGAATTTTCCACCGATTTCAATCCGACTTTGCTGTTTTCATTTCGTCATCATGTCAATTCGCGCCATACTTCTTCCTGAAGATGAGCAAGCTCAGATCAAGGTTCTGCATGATAATGAACGTTCCAATCTAGAAATCGCACGATAACTTGGTCGTTCTCCTTAATGCATTCGAAGATTTATCTGGCACCCTGATAATTATACTCAGCACACACTCCGCTCCATCCACGATCCTTGACTGCTCAGAACAACAAAAGAGTAGCACACATCCTGTCGAATTCTTCATTGAGAGTCCGAGCTCAGATTTTTATTCCAGCCTCGAAAATGACCACTAAGCCCCTCATCCGCTCAAATGAATACACCACTCGACAGACGCTGAGAAAGGCTACTCACTTCAAGGCCCAGCACAAGTTAGCCACATTGGAGTCTGCTCGTACAGACATGGCAACATAGGATAGGACACCGGGCGAAGACACGGTTTTTCGAGAATTTCCTATTTTCAAAACAAGCAACTTTTTATGGACTTTCTCTCCTCAGGTAATCTTAACTCATGGAAAGAGTTCGATCTTGACGGGCCGGGTGGATTTTGCTACTACTGGAGAGGCTTGGCCGTGAGTCGCTCGTGCTCTCGAGAAGGAATTTCGGAAGAGGCCCGTTGATGGGTCTGCGGCGGTTTCGCAATCAGCGGAAATTCAGAAGTTGCCGTTCCATTATTGCGTATGAACTGTAAAGAATACCAAGCAGTGCTCCAATGTCACCTGTTGCCCTTCCTTAGCGAAGCGGAGCGAAAATTGCATTTTTAGCAACAGGACCACGTGTCTTTCGATGCTTCGCAATCTACCAAAGAATGGCCTTAACCAAATGGTGCTGAAGCGATAGATTGGCTTGTGTGTCCTCCTTACTGCAACCCTATAGGGAGCCCTTGATCAAGGCGTTAACTTTAGCAACCGGCAGTATAATACCGCGGATGAACTGAAGGCGGCGGTAGAGGCTATTTGGGCCGACAGCGACGAAACAGCTATGCCAAACGTGGTTCAGATTATGCCGGACAGGATGTTTGAGCTAATTAGAAACTCTGGAGGCCCCACTGATTTCTAATCTCAGCTATGTTTTTGTCTTTTGTTAAGTGTGCACATACTTTTGAAACAAAGAAAAAATTTCATCCAAAATTTTTTTTCGAAAGTGAGGCGATATTATCTGCTTTGCTTCCATTGATAGGTTATCGACTACGAGAAATCGATTGAGAAGGATTTCATAGCACGAAACCTCATGGTTCCCTTTCAAACGTGAATTTTGAGGGTGTGCACATACTTTTGAAACGCACTGTAGAGGATAAGCCCGGTGATTTCAGCTTAACTGCCCTAAAGAACTGATGTCTCCTGGAACATGGAGCCGTATCGCGGTACAGTGCTTGTACAGGTAGCGTTGATCTCCCCCATTTGCAATGCTCAACAGCACGTTGACTCATTTAGCGTGAAACTTGTGCACGACTATGGCTACGTCCATCGCGACATCAAGCCGAATAATTTCGTGATGGGACACCGAGATGATCTTGAAAGGGCTCGCATTGTTCACATACTCGATTTCGGACTCGCACGATCGTATGCTGCTTTTGTAAGTGTAAATCTTCCCATTTAAAGTTTTCTCACTGCCGCTCCAAATCCTCTTTTGAGCATGATTTTTTCAAGGAGGATGTACTAAACCATAGCTCCGAACTGCATTTCGAAAGTGGCGTTCACCTTTAACTTTCACGAGTTTTACAGAAAAATGGAAAATGGGTTGCAAGAAGAGCAAGGGGCTCAGCAGAATTTCGAGGCACCCTTCGCTATTGCTCACCAAATGTTCATGAGAAAAAGGAACAGGTAACATCTTTCGATACACGGTGGAGAAAAAGCCAGAACTTGCTTGGACTTTCTATCCACCCGACATGAGACTTGGTGAGCGTGCTGTCGTGAATTTCTCAAGTGAGGGTTCCTCTAAATTTGCAGGGCCGTCGCGATGACTTGTGGTCACTTTTCTACGTACTCATTGAGTTACACTGCGGACTCCCATGGCAGACCATTCGCGATAAGGCCAAGGTATCAGGCAAAAGATAGCAGATGTAACCTGTTCTGTTCAATTAGAATATCTGCATTTCAGGTGGAGACTATGAAAATGAATATCTCCGATAAGCATTTAGTTCAAAATTTTCCTCGTGCGTTCTTTTCACAGTTTTGTAATTACCTAAAACTTTTTGCGGCTTTATCTTCAGTTTGTGACTCCATACAGCTCAAAGGTGTGCATAAAGGGCACCGGGGCCTTATCAGTGGTCTCGATTGATGGAGCTGATAGCTGCTCCTATGTGTTGCTCACAATCGGCGGCCTGTGGTTTGCGACCTTTTGTACGGCGTGCTCTCTTGCGTACTCTTCCTTCTGGCATGCTGTGTTTCCTTGTCATACCACGGTTGATAAACCCCCCTGACACTC